TTAATTCACATCTAATTAATTACCACATAATTCCCATCTAATTACCACCTAATTACCATATATCATTAGCACCTCATTATCACCTCATTAGCATGTAATTAGCTGACCTGTAGCAGGAATTGGGGGTGGACCAGACAGTGAGTAGATATAATTCCCATCTATTTAATTACCGCCTAATTTGCACCTAATTATCACCTCATTGCCATCTCATTAGCATGTCATTACCACCTCATTAGCATCTCATTAGCATCTCATTAGTATGTCACCAGCACTTTTTAACCTCGGGGACTCCCCTGAACATCCCGTTTCCCACCCTCTCCCACCTCCCCCCCAAACAATTACCACCTCATTAGCACATAACTTAATTACCACCTAATTATCACCTCATTAGCATCTCATTAACACCTCATTAGCATCTCATTAGCACGACGTGACCCCAGGAACTCACCTGGATGTCCCAACCCCTCCCCACACCCTCCACATATAATTAAAAACTAATTAAGTACCACCTGATTACCTCCTAACGAGCACCTCATTAGCATGTCATTAGCATCTCATTACCACCTCATTAGCATATTATTGGCACCTTTTAACCTCAAGGACTCACCTGAACCTCCCAAATTCCCTTCCTGTTTCCCACTGTCTCCCACCTCATTAGCACATTACTTATACCTAATTACCGTCTCATTAGCATCTCATTATCATCCAATTAATATATAATTACCATCCAATTAGCATCTCATTAGCATGTCACCAGCCCTTTTTAACCTCCAGGACCCACTTGAACCTCTCAAATTCCCTTTCCTCTCCCACCTCACATTTAAACAAGTCATCATCTCATTACCACATAATTTGCACCTAAGCACCACCTAATTAGCATCTAATTAGCATATCATTAACATCTAATTAGCATGTGATTACCCTACCTGTAGCAGTAGTTGGGGGCAGACCAGACGGTGAGCACGGGGTGGGATGGCCCTGAACCCCTCCCCACAAACCCCACATATAATTTGCATATAACTTACATCTACTTATCACCTATTTATTATCTAATCACCACCTAATTAGCATCTAATTAGCATGTGATTATCCTACCTGTAGCAGTAGTTGGGGGCAGACCAGACGGTGAGCATGGGGTGGGATTTGCTATAATCCCTCCCCGTGAACCCCACATATAACTCACATATAACTTACACCTAATTATCACCTAATTACCACCTAATTAGCATCTAATTAGCATGTGATTAACCCACCTGTAGCAGTAGTTGGGTGCAGACCAGACGGTGAGCACGGTCTCCCCGAAGTGCCACTTGTACCCCTCCATGACGAGCTGGTGGGCGCGGCAGATCATCGACACCTCGTTGGCCGCGTTGAACTGGGCGACCACGTCGCTGCCGAACAGGTAACCGGCACCACGGGGGGGACACGCCCCAACCTGTCGTGTCTGGGGGACAGGGACAGGTGTGATACACCTGGGCAGGTGACCCCTGCACACCTGAGCCCCGCCCACAACACCTGAGCCCCGCCCACAACACCTGAGCCCCGCCC